CAGGACAGAATCCGGCGCCCCAACTGGGACTAGAACCCAGTGTGCCAGCGCCACAGGAGAAGGATTAGCCAATTGAGCCGTGGCACCGGCATACAATTCTTATCAGCAGTTATACAGTGTAAGTTTCCAAGTTCCACAGAAAGAGAAGATGGTATAGGAAAAGTGCTGTCTAATCAGGAGATGTAACCCCTAATTAAAATGCTGTGGACATAGTGGTTACCAAGACACACCTTGTCCCAGTCTTCATGGAGCTTATTACTTTCTGGTAGGAAAGCAAACAACATTGGCCCAACATGAACAAATCCTCTTTTTCAACCTGTTTATTAAGCCATACAAGATAGCAATTTCTCAAAGATATTTTTATAGGAAACTGAGAGAAAAGGGGGAAAAATCAGAGAGGCACATGTGAATATGCATCCAAATGATCAATATCTTAATTAAGTTCTGGCCACAACGATCTTGGCTGAGACGTAGCACTCTGTACTTATTTATGTATCCAAACGTTCTCATTTGTCTTAGACTCTTTTCCAATAGCAGCTCATGCTGCCTTGGAGGACAGAAAGAGGCTAACAGGTTATTGAGCCAGCCATGGGAAAAACTAGGACATCTACTATTCCATATCCAAGGTAAAAATGGGATGGTATCTAAAAGTATACAAAATCATAAAATTTTGTGCCAATTTGGAATATCTAGGTTTCATTAGTTTCATATTTGGGTAGGGGACATACAATTTGGGAGTCATGAGCATAAGGATTAGGATAGAAAATCAAGAGTGAATTAGAGGGAGACCTATATTTAGGGAATGAGCATAGAATGAAGTATTATTAATGGCAATACAGGATTGCAAATGGAGGATGAAGATGTAAAAATAGTGTGTTGGTAGAAAGGAATATAAAATTGTGGTAAAGAGGCCCAACAGCTGGGTTTTGCAGGCATTTTGTGTTTATATATAAATACCATATTTTGACAGAATATTGTAATCTACATACAGATAAATCAATTCTGACACTGTTTTGTTAATATAATAGCCTTGGCAATTTCTCTTGATTTAATCTGTTTCTTTTAAATTCTACTTCCCAATCTGAGGTTATGCTCTAGAGCTTTCTAAAATATTTTTACTACTAAGCTATAATTCCTTAAGGGAAGGATCAATATTTGTTTCAACTTTTATCTTCAGTAACTTTGGCTTAAAATTCAGATGATGCATGATTGAATTTATTACTTCCTTGATAATTCCTGTGATCCATGGACCAGCAAGCACTTTGATATCATTTGGGAGCATTGTTATAAATGCAAAATTATGGTGCTGGCACTGTGGCATAGTGGGTTGAGCTGCTGCCTGCAGCGCCAGCATCCCATATGGGCACCAGTTAGAGTCCAGGCTTCTCTACTTCCCATCTAGATCCCTTTAAATGTGCCTGGGAAAACAGCAGAGAATGGCCCAAGTGCTGAGGCTCCTACACCCACATAGGAAACCCAGAAGATCCTGGCTCCTGGCTTCGGCCATTTGCAGCTGTTTGAGGAGTGAACTAGCAGAGCATGGAAGACCTCTCTCTGTCTCTCCCTTCTTCTCTCTGTAACTCTGCCTTTCAAAAAAAAAAAAAAAAGTGACCTAACAAAAATACTGTATGAGGGAACTTCAAAAAGTTTGTAGAAAAATGAAATTAAAAGATATTTGTTTTGATACAGAAATGTTTTAAACACATGCATAGTTTTTCATATGCATGAACTTTTTTCCATAAACCTTTTTTCCATGTACTTTCTGAAGGCCCCTCATACACTGCCATCATGTTACTATAAAAACTGAAACACCATTGGAAATTTCATTTATTGATGCTAATATTTAATTGTCTTGAGATCCACACTGTTGTTTTGTGATAAACATTTCTTAATAATGCTGACATTACAGTTCACACTAAAACATGCCTTGAAAACAACATAAAGAACAACTGAACTGTAAATGTAACAATTCCGACTGCAAATCTCTATGCTATTTATATATACTCTTTTCACTTTGATAATGATGCCTTACAGTAAATTAAGAACAATTTTTTGAAAATCTAATGATGCAGATCTAGGCTTTGTCAGTCTTAGAATGCAAGAGGCCCAGAGTGAATGGTTTAGAATGCAGAGGCGTAATGTAGGAGGAAAGAATTTATAAATGTTCTAATGGAAATCTGTGCTGAGAGCTTAGCAAAAGAAACAAGGTACACACAATCTACAGCCTGTGCTCTGAAGGCTGCCGCCCTCGTCATTCTTTTTCCTATATGGTCATTTGCTAATGAAAGTAAATTTTTTTTTACAGAAGCCTCTCTCTGCATCTCTCCAGGGAAACAAGCAGAGCCACGGGAGAAACACTGACCTGTGTTGAAAGCAGAGAGAGCAATAGTTCACGAATGTCAGCAGACACAGAACCCTGCCTCAGCTATGACAGATAAGGGGAGGGAATGACAGTTCTATTCTCACCATTTAAAAAAGGTTAGAGTTTAGTTCTTAAATGCTATGTGATTCTACTTCTCAGTCATTATCCTTAAGACCTACCATTTGACAATCAATGTAATGCAGAAGAGTAAGACTTTGTAACTCTGATTTGGATTGAGTTGGGCTAAAGTTGCCTTTGCTTATTATAGCTTTTACTTAAAAGGGGATAATTTAATAGTACAGTGATGATTATGGGAGGTGTGCTTCAAATATCCGAGAATTAACAACCATATTTGAGAAGTATTCTGTCCCTCTTGCCTTTCAAATAAATAATTTTTAAAAACACATTCACCAGAAGTTGTTATTGTCAAACAATTAATTTTCATTTTCAGCAAATAAGGAGACTTACAAGGAATAACATGTTTCCAAAGAGATAGCTCCCAGAGCAAGGAGAAATGGGTATCTTTTCTTTTAGAGGAAAATAAATATGCAAGGAGGGAAATCCTTGTCATTACATGTAAAGGTGGACACAAACTCACACAGGCACAAGTTCAGAAACTGTCTTTACAAACATTGAGGCTTACGGTCCTCCTGAGGTGCAGATCTTAGCATTAAAATGAAGCAAAGGATGACCGTTGGACATTTTTTGACACATCTAAAGGAATTGCTTTTGTGGTAGGGTCTGGACCAATTCAGGATAGTTGGTGTTCATATCTCTTCCTGGATCGTGGCTGAAGAAAACACTTTGGGAAACATCAGATGCTTTGGAAGCTTTAGGGTCCTGACATAGAAATGAGTTCCAGTAAAGACTTCAGAGCTACTGGGAGCATTAGCTGATGACAACACCACCTGGACTGATGATGGATAGAGACTAGAAATGAGACCAATACAATTTGGAATATCTAGGTTTCATTAGTTTCATATTTGGGTAGGGGACATACAATTTGGGAGTCATGAGCATAAGGATTAGGACAGAAAATCAAGAGTGAATTAGAGGGAGACCTATATTCAGGGAATGAGCATAGAATGAAGTATTATCAATGGCATTACAGGATGAGCTTCCCTCAGTGGTAAGGCGGTGGTAAGGGAGAAAGGGGTGATTATGTGTGGCAGATATGTCAAGGCATCCATCACTCAAATTGTTTCCTGGCTTTTGTGGCTACCAGGCTAATGTATAAGTGTTATGAAAAGCAAGTGTACTCTGGTGACCCGCAAAACAGTACCTGGTAAAAGATGGCTGAGGTCTCAAAGTATGGACTTGCTTTTGATCACATGTGAGATATTGCTGGAAATTCTCAGAAATACTTAAAGGATTTCGCAGAGAGATGAATTAATTTAGTACATGGGGGTAATATGCTCTTTTTTAAAAATGTATTTTATTTATTTGAAAGACAGAGTTACAGAGAGAGGTAGAAACAGAGAGAAAGAGGTCTTCCATCCACTGGTTCGCTCCCCAGATGGCTGCAATGGCCGGAGCTGCGCCAATCCGAAGCCAGGTGTACCGATCCGAAGCCAGGAGCCAGGAGCTTCCTCCGGGCCTCCCACGTGGGTGCAGGGTCCCAAGGACTTGGGCCATCTTCTACTGCTTTCCCAGGCCATAGCAGAGAGCTGGATCGGAAGAGGAGCAGCCAGGACTAGAACCGGCGCCCATATGGGATGCCGGCACCTCAGGCCAGGGCTTTAACCTGCTGTGCCACAGTGCCGGCCCTGTAATATGCTCTTAAAGATGGCAGTTACAAGGGCTGGCGCTGTGGCATAGCGGGTAAAGGCATTGCCTGCAGTGCCAGCATCCCATATGGGTGCTGGTTTGAGTCCCGGCTGCTCCACTTCGGATCCAGCTCTCTGCTATGGGCTGGGAAAACGGTAGAAGATGGCCCAAGTGCTTGGGCCCCTATACCCACATGGGAGACTCAGAAGAAGCTCCTGGTTCCTGCCTTCAGATCAGCCCAGCTCCAGCCGTTGTGGCCATTTGGGCAGTGAGTCAGTGGATGGAAGATTTCTCTCTCTTGGCCTCTGCCTCTCTGTAACTCTGCCTTTCAAATAAATACATAAATAAATAATTTTTTTAAAGATGGCAGTTTCATTCAATGTACCTCCCTTAGTTGTTTCAACTGGGTGAAGAGGGATTATTAGGGTAATATAAGGATAAAATATCATTATAAAAGTCCTAGAAAACAATTGTACTTAAACTTCAAAGAATTAGGCAGTGCTAATTTTGACAATCTCTCTTACTCTTCTCATCTATGTTTTTCTTGTCTTTCTTGAAACAAGTAAAAGTGTGAATAGAAGTAACAACATCATCATTACCTTCTATGGGAAAAAACTAATAGGATCAAAATGATCTCTGTGGACTTACACGTTTAGGAGAGGAAAATATATTTCTTCTGTTGTAACAGACACTCCAGGAAAGTGTCAATCCCTAAAGAATATATAGACCTCTGTAATTTTTTAGTTTTTGAAGAATGCAATCAGTAAAAATTATAGTATTAATTTCTCTTTGGCAGCAATCCACCTAGTTAGTACTCCAAAAATTCACATTTGTACAAGAAAATCTTTTCAAAATAAAATCTAATACTTACTTGTCTCCCACAATTCCCAAGTTGATTGTGGGATAACCATGTTCCTGAATTGTTGCTAGAAGGGTTGAACGATTGCTGTCTCGAATCTTTCCTGGTAAGAGGTCATCTTCAGGATTTAGCAACTATAAGGCCAAAAACCAGAAGTTATTTTCTTAGGATAATGTTGCCTAATGTGGATGGGAAAAGAAATACATATCTACTAGCACATCTAGCACCTACAATGGTATCAGGCACGTTTAGACTATATGCTCAAAGGATCTTTGAATAAATACTGAAAGCATAGGAAAGATGAGAAAATGTTCCTGTGGTCTCCAGAAAACGGTGAATGAATAACAGGCCAAATATCATACACATTTGGCTACAAAATAGTAACAGTGCCCTGGAGATACTGGGCCTTCTCCATAATTGGTAACTGAGCCAAACTAACCAAAACAATTACCTTTTTTCCTCCCAATATTATTTTCCAATTTGCCTTTCACCGAGAGCGCCTGAGGTAGACATTGCGTGACATGCTATTCTCAGGCTCGAAGGGAACAATGGCTTATTTTTTTCTTTCAAGGTTTTAGATCTCTGTTCTCAAGTGGAATTAACAGTACCAAAGAAGTTAAACTTCTCTGAAGGAGAGATATTTTTTGTCTTTAATACTAACAAACTTAAACAAGTAATACTTAGCTATATATATCCACAGTTCCATTACTCTGAATTGAACTGATCTTCAGAGATTATTATATGATTCTTACTATAATTATGGCTATGAAGAAAATTAGGGGATGATCAATATTAGGATGTTCCAATGTGGCAATTAGAGAAGGCAGAGCTTTGGATTAAGGCAGGGTTCAAATTCAAGTTCCAAAATTTTGTCTTAATTTTTTCTTTTATAAGATATGATAATATTAACTACTTGGTAAGGTAGTTGTTAGGATTGAGATAATGAACACAATTTATGCAGATTAGGAATATAGTAAAAATGATTCTTTTCCTTTCTTCATGATTTTTCTGTTAAAGCAACATCTGCTTTCCACCCAGTTGCTCTTACACTGCTACTCTTAGGTGCTAGTATGGGTGGAATCAGTTTACCAGGTAAACACAAACTATTAGCTTATAAGTACTAAATATTAGTGGATCCTTAACATCCAAAGACACATAGTTGCATCTTACAACTTTAATTAAATATCAATTGTAAAATACAGTTGATTCAGAAATATAAAAGAAAATACTTCTTTGAAGTGAGAAAATCTGAAATCTTATTTTAGGAAATTGAAGGAAAGCCTGCACATGCCAGAACCTTATGCTGTTAATATGGCCAGTACTTTGGGCTTCATATAACTGCTCTTCCAAACAGTAACTGCAAGCCCCTTTAATTTTCTTTCTGATTTGTTATTGATACTACATGGCCAGATTGGCTTTATATTAGAAAAATCATAGTTTTGCAACCAGCTGTCCCCTTAAAAAGACTGGAGAAAAACTCTGACCATTATTAGTCAGTGTCATCTGGAAGGCCTCCTTTCAAATACTGCATTAATTGAACTTAGAAGCCATGTGACATTTCAACCCACTTTCATCCTTAGTCATTGGCAGTGCTTGGAAAATTGCTATTATAATGCTAATACAGATAATTTTCTGATCTTGATTAACACAGTTATTGAAGTACTTATAATTTTATAAAGGCCAAAGCTTACAGGTCTTAAACTCTACAATAATCACACAAGTTGCTTCAGAAAGAAAAGTATAGTTACGTATTTTTTTTTTTTCACAGCAGGGTACTGACCACCAAGTAAGTAAAATTCCCCTGTTATTAGGGTGTTTTCTTTGCCATTTATGTCTCTCTCTCTATTCTGCTGCAAACAGTTCCAGAAATAACAGAACAATTAGATATCACTGATGAACCTATTATTTGTCTGTAAAACTGACATAAAGAAATAATAGCTAGTTAAATGAGGGTGTGGGATTTACGGTGTATGTTCAAAAAGACATGTAACACTAAATGGAAGATTATAAGGCTGAATATAGTAGATTAAACTTAATTTTTCTTGTTATAAGTGAATACTATTTTCTGTTATCTTATACTTCAAGTAATCTAGAGAACAATGCCTGAACCTTATTGGAGTAAAAATAAAAAAAGAAAAAGAAAATACAAAGTGAAACAAAATCTAACTCATCATCTCTATACCTTGTTACTTTCCTACCTACCACATACTCAGTTTCAATTCCTATTTTCTTTACATCAGTGACATCACCATCTTGCCACCTTCCAAACATTTGACCTTTTACTTTTTTTTTAAATTTTTTTTTTATTTTTTGACAGGCAGAGTGGACAGTGAGAGAGAGAGACAGAGAGAAAGGTCTTCCTTTGCCGTTGGTTCACCCTCCTATGGCCGCCGTGGCTGGCGCGCTGCAGCTGGTGCACCGCGCTGATCCAAAGCCAGGAGCCAGGTGCTTCTCCTGGTCTCCCATGGGGTGCAGGGCCCAAGCACTTGGGCCATCCTCCACTGCACTCCCTGGCCACAACAGAGAGCTGGCCTGGAAGAGGGGCAACGGGGACAGAATCCGGCGCCCCGACCGTGACTAGAACCCGGTGTGCCGGTGCCGCAAGGCGGAGGATTAGCCTAGTGAGCCGCAGCACTGGCTTGACTTTTGATTTTTACCTCTTCTTTTGCAGCCCACTCATCCCAAAGGCCTCAATTATTCACTGTATTCTAATCCATCGCCTTCTTCACCTTATATTTTTGTCACACTGTTACTACCTGATTCCCCATTCCTACCTTAATAGCTAAAGCCCTTAAATCTAGGTACTCTTTATTTCTTGAATTTTTAAAATAGCCTCTTAATGGTCTGCCTTGCCTAAAGCTCTTAATTTTTAAGAAATAAGAAACATAAACTTGGGGCTGGCACTGCTGCGTAGTGGGCTACGCCTCCTCCTGTGGTGCCGGCATCTCATATGGGTGCTGGTTTGAATCCTGGCTACTCCTTTCCCAATCCAGCTCTCTGCTATGGCCTGAAAAAACAGGGGAAGATGGCCCAAGTGCTTGAGTTCCTGAATCCACGTGGGACATCTGGATGAAGCTCCAGCAAGCTCCTGGGTTTGGATAGGCCCAGCTCTGGCCATTGTGGCCATTTGGGGAGTGAACCAGTGGATGGAAGACCTTTTTTTCTCTCTCTGTAACTCTGCCCCTCAAATAAATAAATAAAATCTTAAAAAAAAGAACCATAAACTTGCAAAATTGTACTATTATTACTTTTGAAACAGACAATCTTTACCAAACCATGATATGTAACTTGGCCTATCTCAAGTAAAAAAAAAATTAAAATTATTTTAAAGTCAGAATTAATGAGAAAGAGACAGAAGAGACAGAGATAGATCTTCTATCCACTTGTTCACTCCTCAAATGGCCTCAACAGCCAGGGCTGGGCCAGGCTGAAGCCAGGAGCCAGGAGCTTCATCTGGGTTTCCCACATGGGTACAGGGGACCAAGCACCTTGGCCATCTTCTGCTGCATTTCCAGGTCATTGCAGGGAGCTGGATCAGAAATACAACAGACAGGACTCAAACTGGCCGGCATGGGATGCCAGTAGTACAGATGGCGGCTTAATGCCAGTACTACAGACAGTGGCATAATCCACTGTTGTCACAGCATAGGCCCAAAGTCAAATTGTTTTTAACATAAGCTTATTTCAGACCTATAGACTCCAAGATAAGACATGGACAACTGATTTAACAGTAACTCGACATGAACACAGTACTCCAAAGATAAAGCTGATATTTCCAGGGACAAACTTATTTTACAAATTCTGATGGGCCCTATTTACTTTTACCTTAAAAACACCCCATAACCAACCACCATATTCAAAATCCTTTGAGTACCCTTCTGTAACTTCGTCCTTTTGAGACGCTACTGAGATCCTCTGTTGAAGGGTTAACAGAATATGCCAATCCCCCAAATACCACTTTGCTATAATTATTATATTAACTTATGTTACATCAGTTACTTGTAGTTCTTTCTCTCTAAAAAAATTTCTATTTATTTGGGAAGGGGAGAGAGAAAGGAACAGAGGGAGAGGGAAAGGGAGGGATGGGTGGGGAGAGAGAGAGCAAGAGAGAGAGAGCGAGAGCGAGCGAGCTTATCTGTTAGTTTACTTCCTAAATGCCCACAACAGCCAAAGAAACTCAATCCAGATTTTCCAGCTGGGTGGTGGGAACCCAATACCCTGAGCTAACACCATTGTCTCCCAACATCTGTGTTACAGGAAGCTAGAGTCAGAAGCTGGAACTGGGTATGGAACCAAGATATTCAGATTTGGGACACAGGTATCTTAACTGGTAGGCTGAGCACCTGCTGTTAGATTATTTTCTAAACTAGTGAAGCTGAGAAGAAACAGGTACAAGAAAAGCTCTCTGTCTTCTTCCTGTTTGCTTAAAAGCAGAACATAAGTTTACAAACATGTCCCATCCCCCTATCAGGAAGGACAAAACTTCACACCTTACCAGCCTGGAGATGGTACCAGAGGAATCTATAGACTTTACTAATCAGGCGTTATCTATCATTCAGTTGACTTCCCACAAGTTGTTGTCCCTAGAGACTCAACGTCTTTTTCCTGTCTTGTCACTTCTTTTTTTTTTTTTTTTCTTGACAGGCAGTTAGACAGTGAGAGAGAGAGAGACAGAGAGAAAGGTCTTCTTTTCCGTTGGTTCACCCCACAAATGGCTGCCATGTCCGGTGTGCTGCCGCTGGCGCACTGCGCCAATCTGAAGCCAGGAGCCAGGTGCTCCTCCTGGTCTCCCATGTGGGTGCAGGGCCCAAACACTTGGGCCATCCTCCACTGCCCTCCTGGGCCACAGCAGAGAGCTGGACTGGAACAGGAGCTACCGGGACAGAATCCAGTGCCTCAACTGGGACTAGAACCCAGGGTGCTGGCACCGCAGGTGGAGGATTAGCCAAGTGAGCTGCGGCGTCGGCCCTGTCTTGTCACTTCTTTAATAATTTATTATTTGTCAACAAAAACAAAGTGGGAGGTATCACAATACCAGATTTCAAGACCTACTGCATGGCAGTTATAGTCAAAACAGCTTGGTATTGGCACAGAAATAGACATGTAGACCAACGGAACAGAATAGAACCCTGAT